TGGTGCACCAGTTGTGGCCCTACCTGGACTGGGAGGCACTTCAAATGGTCACTTATGCTCTCGTCACTTCTAGGCTTGGTTACTGTAACACGCTTTACTTGGGGCTGCCCCTGAAGAGTGTTCGGAGACTACAATTGGTCCAGAATGCAGCCGCGCAAGTGATATCGGGTGTACCTAGGTACACCCATGTTACACCTATCCTCTGTGAGCTGCACTGGCTTCCCATCAGTCTCCGAACGCGCTTCAAGGTGCTGGTCGTTACCTTTAAAGCCCTACATGGCTTGGGACCTGGATATCTGCGGGACCGCCTCCTGCCACATACCTCCCAACGACCCATAAGATCCCACAGGCTGGGCCCGGAACCGGCAACCGGACAATGCTGGTTGGCGACTACTCGGGGGAGGTCTTTCTCTGTAGCTGCCCCGGCCCTGTAGAATGATCTATGTGAATGATTTTATGTGAATTACTAGTTTCCTGATCATTGCAGTTGATATACAATAAAATAAAAGTATTTTATTTTATCCCCTCCTTTAAGAAAGTCTCCCTCTGTTTATATGCATAAAAAAGAAACCAAGAAAACTTAACCAAGCCTCCATATTTTGTGTTGGATTAATGGGGTTGAACTGACAGCATCTTCACATTCCAGGAATGATTATCCTCACTACCCACCTTCTTGTATGACTGTTCAGTAGTTGCACAAGATGTAGCTTTCCATTCCTGCAAATACATTTTCACTAGGGAGAAACAGCCATCTTTCAAACAAGTTTTATTTCTTGACAAAGCATATAAAAGACTTTAGCTACATGCAAACTAGGACAATACGGAGCTGTTCATTTCTATGAAAGTACCAGATTGACACTACTGAAAACATACAAGTACTCAAAATGGGCACAACAACAGTGGGGTTTTAGGGAAAAACATTGATCCTGAAAATTGGTCACGTGATGAGTCGCACCTCCTCCCCAAAGTAGATTAGTCCTAGCAATTACAATCACAACCCACTCTGAAAGGTATCAGCCGTAGGGCGCTCTTCAAACCTGCCAGGATGAAGTACCAAAACTATTGTTGAAAGCTCACACAAGAGATTGGCATGATAGTTAAATTTGGGCAAGATTCTTCATGGGTAGCTCAGAAAAACAACAAAGCCAGCATTTACTTCATGACAGTCAAGTGCTGCAAAGGGTTGGTGACTAAAGCTCCCACAGTATGTAATCCAGGTACCTAAACATCAGGAAAAATTAACACTATCAAGCTGAATTGATTTCTATTGTCTCTTCTGTGCCAGTGATGAAATCCAGAAAGCTGCATTTTTTTTCACAAAGTGTAATAGCAACTTGCAACAAATGCTTGGGGTTGCCACCACCAAAATTTCATCCCCTGGTGCCTAGAGCCAAGGCCTTGCTAATCCTAAAAGGGAGCTCCCCACACACACCAGGAAGGCACATGTTTTTAAAGTACCACCAATTCACATCCCTTAAAGGGAATGGGAAGTTTTTCATTTATACTAACCAGTGTCATCTATCAATGCATTTTTATTTCATTTCATTCTAGAGACAGATTTCAGAAGGTGCAAGTTTTTCAGTCCTGCTGACACACTGCTTTTAATTTATAAAAATTACATTTTAAGACCAGCAATCTTGTACCACCTTAAGACTTTACAAATAAAACTCATGGATTCAAATTCAGCCAAATTCATCAGATTCATGGCATAACCTGAGATAGGTACACATCCATGGCTTATTTGGGACAGGAGACAATAAATTGGTTGGGAGAGAATGAAATGCAGAAGGTATAGTAGTGATGGTTACCTTCTTGGCAGTGATTATTCAGTGAGACATTCAAACTTGTTTTGGTGAGTTGATTAACATGTTTCTGTTTAATCCATGGGATTAATTTTGTTTCTATCCAAGCATGGAATTTTCTCACGTAAAGCTTCTATTCAAAGTAATTGATTTGGAAAGTAAAAACTATAACAAGTACAGAATTATTTGTACCAGTATACCTAATATGAAAATTTAGTGTATTCATCTAAAGTGTTTAACCTGGGGGAAAAAACAGGCTCAATAGTGGCATTGCATTTTTGTTTGTGTTTCTTAAACCTTCAACTGAACAGTCAACTAGCAATCACCCCTGTGATAACTACAAGGTTTCAGGAGTTAAAGGGATGCTTTGATTTGGATACTGCACTGAGCAAGTAGTTAGGATTGGCATAAATAATCCCTTCCAGTAGAATTCTACATAATGGTTCAGATTGTAGCGGATCATTAATATGTGAATTGGAGCCAATTGTAATTTGGTCTCCCCATTTTGGTCCTGCAAGTTAAGGAATTAAAAGTTTTTATTTGAAGAGAGCTTCATTAGCATAAACTAGCCAAGATCCTTTGTGGTTATAAAGGATCCATTTGGCACATCCTAGGGACCTAGACAAATGAGAGAGAACTCTTTATTTCATGTCTGAAACAAATGTTCTTGATTTGTAGATTCATTTGGCAGCAGCTTAACCTCAATAGCTTCACCTGTCCATACCTGCCTGGGCTTCGTGTCTTCCAGGCCATCATTTTGGTCTTCATCCTGTGAGGAAAGACCTTCTTGGCTCTCAAGGTCACTCACTTGACTTTCACCAAATTCAAGAATAGTTGGGAGATTGCTTTGGGTAGGGCTTCGTTTCTTAAGGCTAACCAGAAAAGGCTGTGGCAGAGAGAATATGTCCACATTATTGCCCAGATCAATCCAAGTCATGCTGGGGAAGTTTCTGGTGTCCTTCAATGCTTCAGTCAGGTCCCGGAGAACGGCTTTTGTAAGCCTGTTGCCATTAAGGGAAAGAGTTGTGAGACGAGGTAGGGCACTGAGAACTGGCAAAAGCTGGAGGAACGTCTCATCTGTCATCTCAGTGAAGCAAAGCTCCACATTTTCAATATATTCAGAGCTGTGCTGGAGGTACGAGATAACTCTGTCTAATTCCTTCATGGTCAAAGGGATGCCAGACAAGTCCACAGTGTTGTCCTGAGGATTCCCCACCAAGATCGTTTTCAAACTGCAAAACAATGAAAAATGGAAATTATTCATTCGTTTCCAGTTTATCTTAACAGCTATAAAGTCAATTCTGACTAGGAAAATTATTTTGACAATAGCTTCATAATTCAGCCAGGAGTAAATGGAATGAATCCATCCAAGGCAGTAATTTTTCTAGGGGATACTGCAGTCAAATTTGTTAATATATGATACTCAATGACTACATCCATAGCATTTACTTGATTACCAGCCCATTTGGGGGGTTTGTACAATACACGGAGCTATTAAGCAAATAGGCTGGATTTGTATCATGGCAAGTCATTCACACAAAGCAATATTAAAATTGTGTTTATGTTAATGTACATTTAATGTACATTAATGTACAATTAATGTACAATTCATAATGATTTGGTCTTTGGGAGAACATTTCCATAAAAAACAATATTTATATAACAGGCACCCACATCTGTTTGTGTGTGTGTATGTATGTATATGTGAAATCATTTTCTTTTCAATAAAATTCATACCAACAGGACAAATAAAGCACCAAGCCTATTAAGTAGCAGTCTCTGTTTAAAACAGGAAACCATACAAGGGAAGCAGATTATTTCTCTAATGCTTTTAAAGGGCATCTGACAATATAAAGCTTAATAAAGGCGTAGGATTACTTAAGCATAAGAAACATCCAATAAAAGGGGTGAGTTTTATTGTCTTGAGAAGACAGGTAAGATATACTGGTGCCAAATACTTGAAAGGGTGGTGTTTTAAATTCAAAATACCTTCCCTATCATCCCAGAGTGTAGGATTCACACTGCAACTGCTGTATCCCACAGTAAGCTACTTACGGTAGCTTCCCACTAAATTTTAAGAACTTCAGGACAGCAGTTCGAACAATAGAACCAGTCACCAAACAAAAAGATGAGCGCCCATTGTTGAATATCCAAGCACAAACAGGATGAATATTGGTTGAAAATGCCTCATTTTGCATTTTTGCTTAAATGGTTGGGGGAGGGGGACATGGAGGCCCATTTCTATGAGTCTAAGGGAGTGCAAGATTTGCTGAGATTAGTTCCCCTTTTCTCTTGTTATTTCAGCACAGAGTTGAGTTGTGAAATCTGAAATTACCACCTGCAATCAAATCAGCTCCCCCCCCCCCCATGTATTATACAGAGACATGGGCAGGCACAGAGCTCCCCTCCTTTGGTAGGGAGGGGGGGGAACCTTAGTGACTCACACCAAAAGGAGTGAAACCACTGCATTGCAACAAGGTGAGCATCATAAAACATTATGCTTGCAGAAGCAGCAATTCAGAAATGCAAATAGAGGACATCAAGAAAAAAGGTTATGAAAACCTTTCTAGAATCTTAACTGATACTAGCAGAGACCTTAAAAGTTGAGAAAATATAACGGCATGAGAAAGAAGATCAATTAGACTCCAGTGTTCTGATTCTTGGAGGGTTCCGTTTAGATGCTTTAGCAAATATACTCAGAGACCTAGTTAATAGGAGCAAACTCTCATTTTACTTGTTTCTTCACTGTTTGAGACTCCCAACAGTTGCATCTTATCGCCTAGTTTAAAATAAAATACTAAATTGCCTTACAGGAAAAATGATCATAATGGAATAACCATAGAATTTAAAAAATCCCAAAGTATCAGTTAAAGCACTGTACAAATAGTCTGTTTAAAAAAAAACATTTACAAATAAGGAAAATGGTTGTGGCAGAGATGCCATATATATTGTATTTCTTTAGGAAGAAACTTGCACAGTATTCTGAACCAAACTAGAATTTCGTCCTGCCATTCAGTGTGAGCTGAACCAGGTTAAATTATTATGGATTAGCATGTTGCGAGAATACATAGTACTACCATTAACATGGTCTTTATCCTATTACCGAGTTCATTGAGGCCTGCATCAGGATTGTGTTTGACCTCAGAGGCTGGGGTGGGCATGGCCAGCTCACCATCACTCATGTCAGGGCCTTAAAATCTATACTCATTAATGTACGTCCACAAGCAGATGCAAAAATCATTTAAAAATCTTAAGTTCACAGCAGCGTTAGAATACCCGCTGCACTTTATTTCCTCCTAGTCTATAAAAATTACAGCCTTCCAGATGTTGCTGAATAGACATACCCAGCATAATCATTGGTAAAAGATGCTGAAAATTAGCTCAGGAACATGGGAGTTCAACACACTTTATCCAACCCTTGGCCTAGTAAATTGGCCAAAAGTAGATTCATGCTAATTTAAGGCTATGCGAATCTGAAACACCAATATTAAAACATAAACACAGCTTCGTATCTATTTGTAATTTGGCAAAGTTGAAACTGCAAAAACCACACACACACACACACACACCAACTGGAAAAGGATCAGAAATGATAGGTTTAAGATATTTATCTAATTAATGTTATGATACCAATAAGAACTAGAATAGAATTCTTTATTTATAATGAAAAGGAGAAGGGATTTTTCTCTTCTTTCTACTTTCCTATTTATATTTTCGGATCAGAAATGAATGCACAAATTTCTTCATAGAAATAGCTTTTGATTATTTCTATAGATTTTTCACAATTTCAAAATTTTGGTACAATCTGATGAAATGGAAAAAAAATTACTTCCTGAAGTATATCTGGTTCAATTTAAGTTAGGGGAATAGCCCAAATCACTGAAAAGGTGGCACAGATATCTATACAGATCAACAGTAAAATTTCTTGAAGTCAAACCTGACTCCTAGTGGATTTTGGGACACATACATGTGCTTTTCTTTTCAGCAATACAGTGTTTTGCTACTGCTATCTTCTACTCTGTCACGCAGATATTAATCAGGCCCAACGCTGCTTAGCGTACAAAATTAAGATAAAGTGCACAAGATTCTACATGTAGCTACTATAGTAAAAATCTAAAAAGGTAATACAGTTATTTATGTTTATCTACGAAAATATAGATTTGCTAAAATTCAGGAACTGTGATACATTAAAAAAATTACATTACTGCATCAAATATAAAATCTTAAGCACATATTATAAGTAAATTACTATAAATTGTGTATTATTTATGGATATGCAAGGCCAAAAAGAAGGTCATTTCATTGATACATTAGATTCCTATTTATTCCTCTGTTGGAATAATACTTAACCTCAAATGCATTTCATAGACCAACTTCACCAGTTTGTTCTTTGGCAGACGTCCAGTGTGAGGCTAAGATATCTAAAAGGATCACTTTGTTCTATATCGACCTGCCTATTATTTATGACTGTCATCATAAATTGTCATAAATTCTATCAATTCAATAGATTATCTTGGCAGGTGCTTGAAAAAGGATCTTTGATAGCAGTACAAGGATTGTAAAACCTCCTCTATGCAGCATTTTTTTAGATACTAGCAGGGTTTTAAACATAGTATACTGTTTTATCATCATATAATATTAATGTAATTCTCAAATGTCACTGTATGATTTTTGTTCTTATAGGTTTTTTGTTGTTTTTATAAAGTGTTTACTATACAGGATTGCATGTTTAATGAGAACTACTCTTCACATGGAAATAATGATTAAAGCAGAAATAGGGAACCAATAACCTCTAAATTATTAATTGAACTTCAATTTCTAACATTTTTCATTGTTGGCTAGGGTTTTATGAATTGTAGTTTAGTAACATTTGGAGAAGTCCTGGACTTCAGCTTAAAATGAAACTTTATAAAGTAATGTTTTATAGATTATATTTCTTACTGTGTATACAATAAACATGTTTAGTTAATGTGTATGGTTTATATTAAAACGCCTTTGTATTTAATTAGAAATGTGTTGAAAACTTTGGGTAAAGCTCCTGCTGTATTTATGACTCAGATTATAAGTTTACAGAAACAGAGCTGTTTGCTAGTGTTATTTTTAAAACAAAGTACGATATCGTCTTGTTGACAACTAAAAACTAAATACCAAAATTGTGTAACATCTGCAAGCCCATATCCTGCCAAGATTTGGAAATGAATTGTCCCAGGAGGAATTTCAAAATGTTTGCAATTACAAGAGCAAAAGTGTGATTTTTAAAAACAAATAGAAATTAATCTTTTGATGTATCTAAACTAAGATTAAAATAATATGAGGGAAGTAGGTGTAAAAAATTATCATAAATAAAGTAATCGTTCTCATAGGAGCCATTGGCCTCTTACATTTTACCCAGTAAATAAGCAACATCTCTTAAAAATAATAATGAAAAAGATAGAGATTTACTGTGTGTATGTATTACACTTTATAAACTTGATTTTTACAGCTCTAAGCTGGCACATTTCATTTCTCCATTTTAATCTTCCTTTGCACAGAGCAGTAGCTGTTGGAAAAAAAGCTTCGGGTTTATGAGAGAGGTGAATGCATCATATCCAAGGCTAAAACAGTGTGTACACACAAATCAGATGGTTATGACATAACACACAAATATTTTCAATCATGGAAAAAGCCACAGATCACCAAACTGGTTAATGACCCTTGTCTTCACAGATTCACTCTGCACTGTAACGTAGAAATAGAATAGGCTTTTGCTGATTTACAAAACAGAAAGAGGCAACCATTTTGAAGAAAAATAATGCTCAACCTGTATAGCACTGCTTTTTTTTCCAGGCAAGAAAAAGCAAACTAAATACTACTTTACATTCATTCTGTCCTATTTACAGAGATAACCTATTATGGCTGAACGCTGAGTTAGCACAAAAAATCTTTTCAACTGCAAGAATTGATTACGGTAGTACATGGTGGGAGGGGGGGCAGATTGTAGGAAACAAAGAACAGCTATTAACAAATATTGTTGGCTTCCTAGACTTCTGTTAAATGTTTTTCATCGAGTAATAAAATAAAAAGCTCACTTGAAGGTCATCCAGCCCATCCCACTGTGTTACCTATGCAGGAGGTTTCTTTGTCAACCAAAAGGGAGGATGGGCTTTTCAACAATGAAGTGTTTTTGAAGAAAATGGAAAGATTACGGTAAGCTCCTTCCCTCACAATTCTCTTTTCAACGGAGAGTCCCATA